TTCCTGTATTCACCTTTAATTTTCTTCTTTTGCACACCCTACCAAATTCATCCCACCAATCTCTGCAGCTTCTCTTCAGAATCTCCCAAGAGCACAGTGTCATCAGCAAAGAGCAGCTGTGACAACTCCCACTTTGTGTGTGATTCTTTATCTTTTAACTCCACGCCTCTTGCCAAGACCCTCGCATTTACTTCTCTTACAACCCCATCTATAAAATATATTAAACAACCACGGTGACATCACACATCCTTGTCTAAGGCCTACTTTTACTGGGAAAAAATTTCCCTCTTTCCTACATACTCTAACTTGAGCCTCACTATCCTCGTAAAAACTCTTCACTGCTTTCAGTAACCTACCTCCTACACCATACACTTGCAACATCTGCCACATTGCCCCCCTATCCACCCTGTCATACGCCTTTTCCAAATCCATAAATGCCACAAAGACCTCTTTAGCCTTATCTAAATACTGTTCACTTATATGTTTCACTGTAAACACCTGGTCCACACACCCCCTACATTTCCTAAAGCCTCCTTGTTCATCTGCTATCCTATTCTCCGTCAGATGAACAAGGAGGCTTTAGGAAAGGTAGGGGGTGTGTGGACCAGGTGTTTACAGTGAAACATATAAGTGAACAGTATTTAGATAAGGCTAAAGATGTCTTTGTGGCATTTATGGATTTGGAAAAGGCGTATGACAGGGTGGATAGGGGGGGCAATGTGGCAGATGTTGCAAGTGTATGGTGTAGGAGGTAGGTTACTGAAAGCAGTGAAGAGTTTTTACGAGGATAGTGAGCTCAAGTTAGAGTATGTAGGAAAGAGGGAAATTTTTTCCCAGTAAAAGTAGGCCTTAGACAAGGATGTGTGATGTCACCGTGCTCTACTGTGTGGTTGGAATTTGTTTTATAGTCTGATGAAGTTTTAATTTCCTCACATTTTCCATATTGGAGTAATTGAAATTTCTCAACATTGAACTTCATATTGTTTTCTGCAACCCATTTAAAGATTTGGTTGATGTCCACCTGCAGTCTTGCAGTATTTTCAATGGAGGACACTGTCCTGCAAATTTGGGTGTCATCTGCAAAGGAAGACATGGCACTGTGGCTTATATCCCTGTCTACGTCCAATGTGAGGATGAGGAACAAGATGGGAGCAAGTACTGTGCCTTGTCGAATAGTGCTTTTCACCGTAGCCACCTCAGACTTTACTCTGTTGACTACTACTCTTTGTGCTCTATTTGTTAGGAAATTATAGATCCATCTATCAACTTTTCCTGTTATTCCTTTATCACGCATTTTGTGCACTAGTACACCATGATCACACTTGTCAAAGGCTTTTGCAAAGTCTGTGTATATTATATCTGCATTCTGTTTGTCTTCTAGAGCATCCAGGACCTTGTCGTAGTGGTCCAGTAGCTGGGATAGGTGGGATAAAGATAGAAATGTTTAAAGCAGATAGGAACATAGTGTTGGAATGGTTGGTGCTTTTATTTAATAAATGCATGGAAGAGGATAAGGTACCTAGGGATTAGCAGAGAGCATGCAGAGTTCCTTTGTGTAAAGGCAAAGGGAACAAAAGAGTGTGCAAAAATTATAGGGGAATAAGTCTGTTGAGTTTCTTCCTCTATAAGCCATGCATGTCATAAGAGGTGAGTAAAATGCCAGGAGCATGGTATTAGTAACCCCTTCTACTGTATATATTACTAATTTTAAAAGGAGAAACTTTCATCTTTCTTTTTGGGCCACCCCACCTTGGTGGAATACAGCCGGTGCATTGAGAGAAAGAAAGAAGTCTGTTGAGTGTACCTGGTAAAGTGTATGATAGAGTTATTACTGAAAAAATCAAGAGTAAGATGTAGAGTAGGATAGCAGATGAACAAGAAAGCTTTAGGAAAGGTAGGGGGTGTGTAGACCAAGTGTTTACAGTGAAACATATAGGTGAATAGTATTTAGATATGGGTAAAGAGGTTTTTGTGATGTTTATGGATTTGGAAAAAGCATATGACAGGGTGGATAGGGGGGCAATGTGGCAGATGTTGCAAATGTATGGAATATGAGGTAGGTTACTGAAAGCAGTGAAGAGCTTTTACAAGGATAGTGAGGTTCAGGTTACAGTATGTAGGAGAGAGGGAGATTATTTCCCAGGAAAAGTAGGCCTTAGACAAGGATGTGTGATGTCACCGTGGTTGTTCAATACATTCATAGATAGGGTTGTAAGAGAGGTGAATGCTTGGGTGTTGGCAAGAAGTGTAGGATTAAAAGATAAAGAATCTAACACAAAGTGAGAGTTGTCACAGTTGCTTTTTGCTGATGACCCTGTGCTTTTGGGAGATTCTGAAGAGAAGCTGCAGAGGTTAGTGGCAGAGTTTGGTAGTGCATGTAAAAGAAGAAAATTGAAAGTGAATATAGGAAAGAGTAAGGTGATGAGGATAACAAAAAAAAATTAGGTAACGAAAAACTGGATATCAGATTGGAGGGAGAGAGTATGGAGGAAGTGAATGTACTCAGATATTTAAGAGTGGACGTGTCAGCAGATGGGTCTATGAAGATGAGGTGACTCATAGAATTGATGAGGGGAAAAAGGTGAGTGGTGCACTTAGGGGTCTGTGGAGACAAAGAAATTTGTCAATGGAAGCAAAGAGGGCAATGTATGAGAGTATAGTTATACCAATGCTCTTATACGGGTGTGAAGCATGGGTGGCGAATGCTGCAACAAGGAGAAGGCTGGAGGTAGTGATGTCATGTCTGAAGGAAGTGTGTTGTGTGAATATAATGCAGAGAATTCATAGTTTGGAAATTAGGAGGAGGAGGTGTGGGATTACTAAAACTATTATCCAGAGGGCTGAGGAGGGGTTGTTGAGGTGGTTCGGACATGTAGTGAGGAAGGAACAAAACAGAATGACTTCGAGAGTGTATAAATCTGTAGTGGAGGGAAGGTGGGATAGGGGTCGGCCCAAGAAAGGTTGGAGGGAGGGGGGTAAAGGAGGTTTTGTGTGAGAGGGGCTTGGACTTCCAGCAAGCATGCTTGAGCGTGTTAGATAGGAGCAAATGGAGACAATTGGTTTTTAAGACTTGATGTACTGTTGGAGTGTAAGCAAGGTAACATTTATGAAGGGATTCAGGGAAACTGGCAGGCCGGACTTGAGTCCTGGAGATGGGAGGTACAGTGCCTGTAGTCTGAAGGAGGGATGTTAATGTTGTAGCTTTATAACTGTAGTGTAAGCACGCCTCTGGCAAGATAGTGATGGAGTGAATGATGGTGAAAGTTTTTCCTTTTACGGGTCACCCTGCCTTGGTGAGAGACAGCCGATGTGTTAATAAAAAAATAAAAATTATTACGGGGGGGGGGGGGGGGGGCGGCACACTGTTAAGAATTTTGTGAAATGGTGGGGTACAGACATTGAAGCAAGCATCAGAACTCATGAATGTCAGTACTATCAACCAGTTAAGACCAATAATTAAGGAGATATCATTAAAAATTAAACTGAGTGTCCATTTTCTGTTTGCTTGATGCATGATACTCAAAATAAAAATGAACCATAGGATTTTGTTCAACATAGTCTCATTTGATTTTCTTACAAAAGTAAGAGAAACCAGGTTAAAGCGATAATTAATGGGATATTGTGAAAGAAATCAAGAAAGATTATGATAATATTTTGTTACAGCTTCACAGATTCCACATTTATTATTGAATATTTCTGAAAAAAATATGAGCTTACTGTACATATACCACATGATCATATACAAAAAAATTAATGAATCAGATCGAAAACCAACGGAAAAAAACTAAAATTCAGTCATACATCCTCTGGCTGGATCCATTTGCCCTGACTTGGTGCATAACACTTCAACAAGATATTGTGAAAACTCCATGTGAATCTGTGATAATATCTCCCAGTCATTATTTGAGGAAATGGTCACTAATCAAGGAAAAAGTTTGTAAGTAGCAAATTTGATTGCTAAATAAGACAGAGTCAGTCATTAAATGGAGAAAATGTACTAGGATATTTTGTTGTTGTTGTTAAATGAAATTCCACTAAATGAAAGATTGTTACAAGTAAGGGATGACTTCTGTATATAGATATATATATGTAATCCTTTAGCAAACAGGATAACAAATTTTATGAAGTCTTCAACAGATTTTGACCGGATTCAGAACTTTCATAGGAATATGTGCATGTTGTATAACTGTTCATAGAAATTCAGTCAAGCACCTGAATTACAGGGAATTCTTTATATCCCTCAAACTGTACTCCTTGAAATGCAGGTGAGAAAAATACATAATCTACACTTGCAAAATTCTGGAAGGGCTAGTCCCAAACCTACACACTAAAATCACTCCATATGAAAGTAAAAGTCTCAGCAGATGGCACAAAATGCCTGCAATGAAAAGCAGGGGTGTGATGAATGCACTGAGAGAGAACTCAATAAGTACAGTGGACCCCCGCATAACGATCACCTCCAAATGCGACCAATTATGTAAGTGTATTTATGTAAGTGCGTTTGTACATGTATGTTTGGGGGTCTGAAATGGACTAATCTACTTCACAATATTCCTTATGGGAACAAATTCGGTCAGTACTGGCACCTGAACATACTTCTGGAGTGAAAAAATATCGTTAACCGGGGGTCCACTGTATATGGGGACAAAGATTATTAAACCCCCTCCTGTCAACTGGACCGGGGTGCATATGTAGGTCTGCATGCCACTGGCCACAAGCATGCATACTTATGCATGTATAATGATGCATCATGCAGGCCTTGATCTGCTGATACACAATAGAGGATATTCTAATCATAAGACAAGTTAAATTTCTTAACAAAGATTTTTTAATGTTAGCGATGTGGTCGTGTGCATGCCACAAATGATTCTTTCCTCCTCCCCTCGGAGTAACAGTGAGATAATTAACTGGGTTTTGTAGCAGTAACACTACAAATGGTACAATGAACTAAAATAATATAATGCAAATAAAATTTTGATTGCAAAAGGAGCAAAACTTACAAAGCCAATGTAATCCTGGAAGGGGTAGGCCAGGGGAGTGAAGGGGTTAGGTACCGTGAACCTAAACATCTCTGACCCAGAGGTATCATTTATGACAATATAATAATCCACAGTACCTGAAACAAGGAAATAATATAAGCTCTCATACTAATGAAAAAATATATCAAGTCAAGCACCTTTTATTTTTTACATGTTAAAAATAATTTACTCCTGTTATAATGTAATTTTAAACATAAAATATATGCTGATTGAACTACAAAAAGACACAATGCAGGTTAAAAATAGCTTTAGCAATATTTTTTTTTTTTCAACAAGTCAGCCGTCTCCCACCGAGGCAGGGTGACCCAAAAAGAAAGAAAATCCCCAAAAAGAAAATACTTTCATCATCACTCATCACTTTCACCTCACTCACACATAATCACTATTTTTGCAGAGGTGCCCAGAATACAAAAGTTTAGAAGTATTTTTTTTTTTTTTTTCAAAACTTTCCCCCAGGCAGAGTATATCCCATACCTCCAAACTGGCAATATCCCAAATCCCTCCTTTAGAGTGCAGCATTGTACTTCCCATTTCCAGGACTCAAGTCCGGTTATATAAAATAACCGGATTTTTTCTTATACACTATTTTAACCTAACTGATGCTGTAAGACAAACAAATAAATTAAAAGATGAATGTAGTAACTTGATACATTATGCATACAGCAGGGATTATATCACAGTCACACCAGAGATCACCGAATGATGATTATATCACAGTCACACCAGAGATCACTGAATGATGATTATATCAGTCACATCAGAGATGATTCACCTAGGATTTTATGTCAGAACTGAGATGATTTAGTGAAGATTATATAACAGCCACACCAGAGATTATTGAGGATTATATCACAGTAACACCAGGGACTACTGAGCTAAGATTATATCATAGCAACACCAGAGATTATTTAGTAAAGATTATATAAGTCACACCAGATATTATTAACTCCTGTATAAATTACTATTTTTTTTTTTTAACAAGTCGGCCATCTCCCACTGAGGCAGGGTGACCCAAAAAGAAAGAAAATTCCCGAAAAGAAAATACTTTCATCATCATTCAACACTTTCACCTGACTCATACATAATCACTGTTTTTGCAGAGGTGCTTAGAACACAACAGTTTAGAAGCATATACGTGTACACATAAAGATACACAACATATCCCTCCAAACTGCTAATTACTAAATCTAAAAAGAAAAAAAATTTTTGTTTCTTCTTTTTCAGGTCACCCTGCCTCGGTGGTCACCCTGCCTCGGTGGTCACCCTGCCTCGGTGGGAGGCAGCCACTATGTTAAAAAACATTGTACAGATTCAAGTTTACCTACATTTACTATCAAATACTTGAGACAACTTACATATATAGCCACTGTCTGAGTCAATGTTTGAGAACTCTACAGCCAATGTTTGAGAGAGAACGATACAACCAATGTTTGAGAAAGACTGCTATAGCCAATGTTTCAGAGAATGTTTGAAAGAAAGAACTCAAACTGTACAGCCATTGGTTGCGAGACCTCCACAACCACTGTTTGAGAAAGATCTATATACAATGTAAAGATTAATACTGAATAGTTTTGTTAAGAATAACTTGGTAAGATGAACAGGATGACCATGAGGGTGTATAAATCTGTAGTGAAAGGAAGAAGAGGTAGTGATCATCCTAGGAAAGTTGGAGGGAAGGGTTAAAGGAGGTTTTGTATATGAACTGTTTGGATGTCCAACAGGCAGTTGAATGTTAAACAGGAGTGGAAGCAAGTGGTTTTAATGACTTGATGTGCTATTGGAGTGTGAACACAGTAATATTTATAAAAGGATTTAGGGAAACCAGTTATCCTATTTGAGTCCTGAGAGTGGGAAATGCAGTGCCTGCACTTAGGAGGGGCAGGGATATGTTATTAATTATGAAATTTTTTGGCTACCTCACTTTAGTAATAAGGTAAAATAAAGAATAATTAAAATTTACCATTCTTTAACCTTTGTCTAGTCTTAAGTAGTCTGTAAACATTAGAATTAGTCTGCCCGAAATGCCCTAGCATGTTAATGGCTTTCTTTGTACTTAACGACACTTTATAAAAAGTAAATCACACATTGTAACCTTTGCAAAGAAATAAAATTCACATTTGTATTTGGCGGAGCATCTGATGGTCTGAGTGATGATGAAAGTGGTTCTTCTTTTTTTGGGGTCACCCTATTTTAGTGGGAGATTACTGGTGTGTTAGAAAAAGACTTGATAACCAGAAAATATTTCCAACTTATATTCTAGATCAGAGTTTCTCAGCCAATTTATCAGAGAGTTCACCAATCATTTAGGACTAATCCTGCTCATGGCTCCCACATAAGGGATGTTACCCACTGTTTGAGAAATGCTGTTCTAGATGAATAATAGATGTTATGAGTGGGTGAGTAATGGTATACAATACTGACATAACAATCGGTCACATACAAAAGCACTACTTGGGGAAAACATCATCAAAAAAGCTTTCACATCTGTTTTTCATACAAAATAATTGTTTTCACCTTGAGTCATGAAAGGAATAAATGAGAGGTTTTTATCCATGGGATACTGGTTCTTCAATTTACCAAAGCCCGGTCTACCACCAGTTGGACGGATGTTGGCAAGTAATTATTTGTAATCTTAAAGTTCAAGATTTCTTCCACAATGTACATCTGTTGAAAAGAAAATGCCATCAAATTAAAATGCATTTATCTAATTTTTCTATACAAAACAAATCAAATTATGAATTTGCAAAAGAAGTCACAGGAGTTTCAACAGATCACACAACACTAAAATACCCCAAAGAACACCATAATACCAGAATAATATAAGAAAAGTCTTAACCATACCCCTGAACTAATAAATAATAATAGTTATAACAATGATACTTATAATAATGATAGTTATAAATAATGATAGTTATAATAATATTTTTGTGATGCTTTGGGATAACCAGTGTGCCTGGGGTCCATGACATTACTGACCGTCCTTGTGGCTTAGTGCTTCTTTTTGATTATAATAATAATTATAATAATTACTGACCGTGCAGTTAACATTAAATCCGGACACGATATTAAAGATGTAGGCAGTGACATTGTAGTATCCACCCTTGGCATAGGTATGATTGAACAAAGGTTGGCTGGTTCCAGGATCCACAAAGGGTAGGGTCTGGATCACACCATCATCCCAGTTGATCGTGACTGAGGCGTTAGTGGGAAAGGGAGCCCCGGAAGTATCCGTGAATTTGATCCCAGGGACTGTGATCAGAAAAACATGGGTATAGTACAATGATCTTGTCTATACAAAAGTAAATTACATAGTAAGGTGAGAAATAAATACACTATAACAAAATTAGAATTGAAAGTTTAGAAATATACCATTGCATGTGTATTACCTTTTATATATCCATAACCCTTATATGTATAATTTTGGAAACAACTATGAACATACTGCTCAAGATGCACATACCTGGAGAGGGTTTTGGGGGTCAGCATCCCCATGGCCCAGTCTGTGACCAGGCCTCATGGTGGATCAGGCCCTGATCAACCAGGCTGTTACTGTTGGATGCACACAACACGATGTACAAACCACAGCCTGGCTGGTCAGGTACTGACTTTAGGTACCTGTCAAGTGCCTTCTTGAAGACAGCCAGGGATCTATTGGTAATCCCCCTTATGTATCCTGGGAGGCAGTTGAACAGTCTTGGGCCCATGACATTTATTGTGTTGACTCTTATTATGCTAGTGGAGCCCATGCTTTTCATTGGGGGGATGTTGCATCATCTGCTGAATCTTTTGCTTTCATAGGGAGTGATTTTCGTGTGCAAGTTTGGTACTAATTCCTCTAGAATTTTCCAAGTATATAATCATGTATCTCTCCCACTGCATTCTAGGGAGTACAGGTTGAGGAACATCAAGCGTTCCCAGTAATTGAGGTGTTTAATTGCAGTTATGTGTGCCGTAAAGGTTCTCTGTACATTTTCTAGGTCAGCAATTTCACCTGCCTTGAAAGGTGCTGTTAGTACACAGCAATATTCCAGCCTAGATAGAACAAGCGACTCGAAGAGTGTCATCCTGGGCTTGGCATCCCTAGTTTTAAAGCTTCTCATTATCCAACCTGTCATTTTTCTAGCAGATGTGATTGGTACAATGTTGTGGTCTTTGAAAGTGAGATCCTCTGACATTATCACTCCCAGATGTTTAACATTAGTTTCTCGCTCTATTGTGTAGTTGGAATTTTTATACTCCGATATAGTTGTAATTTCCTCACGTTTTCCATATCGGAGTAATTAAAATGTCTTATCATTGAACTTCATATCGTTTTCTGCGGCCCATTTAAAGATTTGGTTGATGTCCGCCTGGGGTCTTGCAGTGTCTTCAATGGAGGACACTGTCATGCAAATTTGGGTGTCATCTGCAAAGGAAGACAGGGTGCTGTGGCTTACATCCCTGTCTATGTCAGGTATGAGGATGAGGAACAGGATGGGAGCGAGTACTGTGCCTTGTGGAACAGAGCTTTTCACAGTAGCCGCCTCAGACTTTATTCTGTTTACTACTACTCTTTGTGTTCTATTTATTAGGAAATTATAGATCCATCTACCAGTTTTTCTGTTATTCCTTTATCACGCATTTTGTGCACTATTACGCAATGGTCACAACTGTCAAAGACTTTTGCAAAGTTTGTGTATACTACATCAGCATTTTGTTTGTCTTCTAGAGCATCCAAGATCTTGTTATAGTGGTCCAGTAATTCGGACAGGCACGAGCGACCTGCTCTAAACCCATGTTGCCCTGGGTTGTGTAACTGATGGGTATCTAAATGAGTGGCAATCTTGCTTCGTAGAGCCCTTTCAAAGATTTTTATGATATGGGATGTTAGTGCTATCAGTCTGTAGTTCTTTGCTATTGCTTTACTGCCCCCCTTTGTGGAGTGGGGATATGATTACTTTTTCACGATTACTTACTAGTACAGTGGACCCCCGCATAACGATTACCTCCGAATGCGACCAATTATGTAAGTGTATTTATGTAAGTGCGTTTGTACGTGTATGTTTGGGGGTCTGAAATGGACTAATCTACTTCACAATATTTCTTATGGGAACAAATTCGGTCAGTACTGGCACCTGAACATACTTCTGGAGTGAAAAAATATCGTTAACCAGGGGTCCACTGTAATTGCAGAACCAAAGCAGAAGTTTAATTTCCATTGGGATATTATATTTATTTTTCAATAAATCAGACGTCTCCCACCGAGGCAGGGTGACCCAAAAAAGAAAAACACTTTCATCATCATTCAACACTTTCACCACCATTCACACATAATCACTGTCTTTGTAGAGGCATTCAGATACAACAGTTCAGATGTCACTCCGAAAAGACAATATACCAAACCCCTCCTTTAAAGTGCAGGCATTGTACTTCCCACATCCAGGACTCGAGTCTGGCTAACCAGTTTCCCTGAATCCCTTCAAAAAATATTACCCTACTCACACTCCAACAGCTCGTCAAGTCCCAAAAAACCATTCGTCTCCATTCACTCCTATCTAACATGCTCACACATGCCTGCATTATTATTATTGTGTAACCCACAACAACTGACTAACACTTAAGACCTGTTTACTGCAAGGTAATCAGGGACAGCAGGTGTAAAGAGATTTACTCATATATCTCATTTTGTCCAGGAATCAAACCTAAGACTATTTGCCTGTGTGTTGAAGGCTGCCTATTTTCCTACTTGTAGCTACAGATGCTGAGCTATACTCCTGGTGCTGTCTGAATTGTTAAATTTATTATGTAACTGTTTAAAGTTTTCAGTGGTTGCAGCACATGTTACCTTTTATCCCATTCTATAGCTGCACCACTGTTTGTAAAGATACTCTGTCTATTATCCTTTCACTATCCCATTTTATGGTTTACAACTGTCACTTCTTATCCTCCCTGTTAATGGTATTAATAAATCCTTTGTATTCTTTCCTTTCTTTTCTTTTAAACACACAGGCCATCTACCAAGGCAGAGTAACCCAGAGAAGAAAAAACACTTTTACCAACATTTGCTTTATCACTGTCTTGCCAGAGGCATGCTGATATACAGTTCAGATGCCCCTCCAAACTGCAAATACAGTGGTACCTTGAGTTATGAGCAGCTCCCAACTTGAACAATTATGTGAGTGTATTTTTGTAAGTACATTTTTGGGGGTCTGAAATGGGTAGCAGTAATGTTGAATGATCAGTTATGGAAGGAGAAAAGAGAATATGAATGTGTAAATGCAAGAATTATGTGGATTAAAGTAAAGGTTGGATGCGAGAAGTGGGTCATAATAAGTGTGTATGCACCTGGAGAAGAGAGGAATGCAGAGAAGAGAGAGAGATTTTGGGAGATGTTAAGTGAATGTATAGGAGCCTTTGAACCAAGTGAGAGAGTAATTGTGGTAGGGGACCTGAATGCTAAAGTAGGAGAAACTTTTAGAGAGGGTGTGGTAGGTAAGTTTGGGGTGCCAGGTGTAAATGATAATGGGAGCCCTTTGATTGAACTTTGTATAGAAAGGGGTTTAGTTATAGGTAATACATATTTCAAGAAAAAGAGGATAAATAAGTATACAAGATATGATGTAGGGCGAAATGACAGTAGTTTGTTGGATTATGTATTGGTAGATAAAAGACTGTTGAGTAGACTTCAGGATGTACATGTTTATAGAGGGGCCACAGATATATCAGATCACTTTCTAGTTGTAGCTACACTGAGAGTAAAAGGTAGATGGGATACAAGGAGAGTAGAAGCATCAGGGAAGAGAGAGGTGAAGGTTTATAAACTAAAAAGGAGGCAGTTAGGGAAGATATAAACAGCTATTGGAGGATAGATGGGCTAATGAGAGCATAGGCAATGGGGTCGAAGAGGTATGGGGTAGGTTTAAAAATGTAGTGTTAGAGTGTTCAGCAGAAGTTTGTGGTTACAGGAAAGTGGGTGCGGGAGGGAAGAGGAGCGATTGGTGGAATGATGATGTAAAGAGAGTAGTAAGGGAGAAAAAGTTAGCATATGAGAAGTTTTTACAAAGTAGAAAAGATGCAAGGAGGGAAGAGTATATGGAGAAAAAGAGAGAGGTTAAGAGAGTGGTGAAGCAATGTAAAAAGAGAGCAAATAAAGACAGTGGGTGAGTGTTACAACAAATTTTGTTGAAAATAAGAAAAAGTTTTGGAGTGAGATTAACAAGTTAAGGAAGCCTAGAGAACAAATGGATTTGTCATTTAAAAAAATAGGAGAGGAGATTTTATTAAATGGAGAGTTAGAGGTATTGGGAAGATGGAGGGAATATTTTGAGGAATTGTTAAATGTTGATAAAGATAGGGAAGCTGTGATTTCGTGTATAGGGCAAGGAGGGAATAACATCTTGTAGGAGTGAGGAAGAGCCAGTTGTGAGTGTGGGGGAAGTTCGTGAGGCAGTAGGTAAAATGAAAGGGGTAAGGCAGCTGGGATTGGGGGGATAAAGAAGAAATGTTAAAAGCAGGTGGGGAATAGTTTTGGAGGGGTTGGGTGAAATTATTTAATAAATGTAGGAAAAGGGGAAAGGGTACCAAGGGTTTGGGCAGAGACAGCATAGTTCCTTTGTAAAAGGGCAAAGGGGACAAAAGAGAGTGCAAAAATTTATAGGGGAATAAGTCTGTTGAGTATCCCTGGAAAGTTTGGTAGGTTATTATTGAAAAAATTAAAAGTAAACTGAGAATGGGATAGCAGATAAACAAGGAGGCTTTAGGAAAGGTAGGGGGTGTGGACCGGTTTTTAAACAGTGAAACATTAATTTTTTTTTTTTTATCACACCGGCCGATTCCCCCCAAGGCAGGGTGCCAAAAAAAGAAAAACTTTCACATCATTCACTCATCACTGTCTTGCCGAAGGGGCTTTACACTCTTTTTTAAACTGCAACATTAACACCCCTCCTTCAGAGGCAGGCACTGTATTTCCATCCCCAGGACTAAAGTCCGGCCTCCCGGGTTTTCCCCTGAACCCCTTAAAAATTTTATTTTGCTCACACTCCAACACACTAATATTAAAAACCTTTTGTCTCCATTCCCCTACAAACACGCTCACCATGCCTGGGGAAGTCAACCCCCTGCACACAAAACCTCCTTTACCCCCCCCCTCCAACCCCTTTCCAGGCCGACCCCTACCCCTTCCTTTCCCCACTAAGACTGATCCCCTTTTAAAGTTATTCTGTTTGCTCCATTCTCTCTACATGCCCCGAACCACCTCAACAACCCTTCCC